TGAGATTCCATCCTATGAAATGTTTGGGGTTGCATCTATCCAGATGAACACTATTCCTAACCTTCCTAACCTAGCAATAATGGGGTCATGGACAGTGGCGGGCCCACTAAGGATCCCACGGATCCCGGGACGCCACGTACTTCCAAAAAAATACCTATATATTTTATTTAAAATTTACTTATAACGGTATATATAACACAAAAACAAGTATTAGTCTCAAAAAATGGAGTTGAGCAACGGAGGAAAGGTCTTTAGAACCTTTCCCTTTTCTGGAGGTGCAACGATCGATTCCGTCACGCTCTTACCGCCTTTTTTTGGTTTATTATTGTAAAAGATCACAACTACATCCTTTTGCCTTTTTAAAAATTCCTACCTGTACACTTTACATAATTCAGTTATGTATTAAAATTTCTTTGAATTTTCAGATTGAATTATTAAATTCATGATATTTATAAATGTTTGTTTCAAAATTTATCAGTTTGCGATGAAAAGATATTTCGACAGTGTGCCCAAATTTAAAGAAATCATTAATTCAAATGATTTTCCATTATTAAGTGAGGAATTGAATCAAATAATTGGTGAATATGAAATTAATTTGACTGACAATACGCATGATCAACATGTTTTTTTTCAATCTTTACAAGGTAATCCTAATTTCAGAAAAAAATTGTTGATTTGCATTCTAATGTTCAAGACGAGGTGCGACGTAGGAGGGACTATGATACGTTGTACAACTTTAATATTTGGAATTTTATCAATTCAAAACTTGAAAGGTAGATGAATTATCGATCCGAGATCTGAAAAATGAAATTTATCGATATAAGACTCGAATGATGAAAATTGTCAATTTAGGACTTGAATGATTGAAGACTATCAATCTCGGACCTATATTGTAATGAATTTTTATTATTTTTTATGTTAAAATTTTTAAATACTCCCTCCGTCCCGGTCATTTCTTCCGGTTTTGACCGGTATCGCAAATTTATGCAAATTTATTAAGGAGTTGACTTTCCCCTTATACCCTTGGCCGAATGGGGTAAATGAATGGGTAAAGTTTGAGGTAAAAACTTTAATAAAGTGGAAAAGTGATTAAAAGTAGATTGATTGACATGTGAATAGTAAAGACTATTCACATTTGTCTAAAAGTTTCATACATAGAGGCGGCAATCCAAAAAAAAGGAGGGAGATTAGTTCCTTACATATACCACTCCCTCCTTACACACACGCACACACTTACAAACACTGCACACACACGCACACTGAAAACAAAAAAAAAGGCAGCTTCCATGGCTGCAATATCTTCCACAGCTGCAGCTTCTCTTCATTTTCTCTAGCTTCTTCCACACCAGGACCCCTAGACCTACAAATAGTAACAACGGATGGTCATGATGCTGCAGTGGGGAAAAAAGGCTTTCGAACAGTGAAAAAGAACGCATAACACATGTACTCTTAAAGTCCAGTAGGAGGGATTATTTGGGGTACTTGAAAGCTCAGAAAGGTATTTTTGTCATACTTGCTGAAGAGTATGAAGTGTCCAGAAGAACTATTTATGGCATTTGGGACACAGTTAAAAAGCAAATTGTACAAGGTGATGCAGTAAATGTGTGTAGGAAGTACCATGGCAGAAAAAGGATAGAATTTGATCTATCTCAAGTATCACAGATCCTACTGCATAAGAGGACTACCATAAGGTCCTTGGCAGCTGTCACCTCAATATCAAAGTCAAGTGTCCACAGATTGGTTCAAAGTGGTAACATCAGAAGGCATACAAATGCAATAAAGCCATTTCTAAGTGATGCAAATAAATCGCAAAGATTGAAGTTCTGTCTTAGTCAGATAGAGAAGTCAATGCCACAGAAGCCTACCTTTCAAACATTTCAGAATGTGATTCACATTGATGAAAAATGGGTTTTCATGACAAAAACATCTCAAAGATTATACATGGGGTTGGAAGAGGCTGATCCACACAGAGTATGCAAATCAAAGAGGTTCATAACTACGGTCATGTCCCTAGGTGCAGTGGGTAGGCCCCTTTTTTTAGAAAGTGGTGAGGTCATTTGGGATAGAAATATAGGCATGTTTCCATTTGTTGAACAGGTTGCAGCAAAAAGAAGAAGCAAAAACAGAAATGCAGGTGTTATGGAAACCAAGCATATTCTTAGCATAACAAAGAAAGTGTTCAAGGACATGTTTATCAACACAGTCCTCCCAGCTATCAAGGAAAAATGGCCTCCACAGTTAAGCAAAGAAATCATAATACAACAAGACAATGCAAGGCCACACATTTCACATGATGATGCAGAGTATATGAGTGCTTCCATGGCTGATGGGTTTACAATCACCCTTACTAACCAACCCCCCATTTCTCCGTACCTTAACATCCTAGACCTAGGGGTTTTTAGGGCAATACAATCTTTGAAAGACCAGAATGCACCCAAGACAGTGGATGAACTGTTACATGCAGTGGATGATGCTTTCAAACAACTATGACTCTAAACAAAGTTTGGCTAAGCTATCAGTATGTTATGATTGAAGTTCTGAAAGTGCAGGGAGGCAACAATTACAAGCTACCACACAATGCAAATGATAGGATGCAGTCAGAAGGGATACTTCCAAAAACAATTGAGGTAGATGTTCAATTATTGGAAGCAACAGAACAGATTCTAGGGCAACAAACAGGGGATACTGAAAGTCAGGGGAACTTCATAATTGAAGAAGATGATGATCATCATCATCTTCAGTGATGAAGTACATGCTCAGACATAATAGGCCTTAAATTTTTTGTTTTTTTGTACAGGCCTTAATTTTGCAAGACAGACGGACATTTAGAATTAGTACTAACATGCTCAGACATTTTGTAATACATGCTGCATACTCAGACCTTTTGTAGAAGTACAAGCATAGTCAGACATTTTGTAATAGTAGAAGCATAGTGATCTAGCAATGGTCATAATGATTTCATCATTTTGGGACAAGAACAGCACACTCAGACCTTATGAATAACTACAACATCAGCATACACATCACACACAAGTACTGATCATGGTCATCATAGTATGCATAAAGTACCACATCACAGGATCATGGTCATCACAGTATGCTTAAACTACCAAAATACTTTCATATGCTCATCATAGTATGCATAAAATACCACATATGAGGGTCATGGTCATCACAGTATGCATTAACCACCCAAACACTATCATATAGTCATCATAGCATGCATAGAGTACCATATCACAGCCTAATGCTTTCATCATAGCATACCACTCAGAATGAACCAATCATAGCGGTAAAGAACCAGTACACACAAGGTCTACTTTCATCACAGTATGCATAAAGAACCAGTACACACAAGGTCTACTTTCACAGTATGCATAAAGAACCAGTACACACAAGGTCTACTTTCATCACAGTATGCATAAAGAACCACCACACAAGGTCTAGTTTCATCACAGTATGCAAAGAGACAGTTTCATGACAGTATGCATAAAGGACCAATACACACAAGGCTTACTTTCATCACAGTATGCCTAACTACCATTTATAATACCAAACCACCATGTACAACCCATGTGCATCACAATAAACATAAAATAACAATTTTTCATCATTGCTTCCCCCAAATTACACACAATGGACATAGAGTACGAATTAAACCATAAATGAAGATAAGGTATAGAAGATACTCCCCTAATCTGTGTCCACGTCCCACATCCTTGTTTCCCATTTTGGCAAAACTATTTTTAGGAACTCCTCCAGTCGGGGACTTCTCCGAATAGGATGCATGTCAATGTCTCTGCGTCTTTTAAGCCGATTTGGGTCCACTGTCTCCCCCACGACCTCTGCAGGCTTCTCGCTTACATCCTCGGGAAGCTTTTCTTCACTGTCCGGGATGATGAGTAAGGCATCCTCTGTCGGGGAGTTCTGAGCCATGCACCTCGGATGGAGTACCAATACAGGTTCATCTGTGTCCAACGCCACCGCTTCCTCCGGAAGAACAACCTCTTCACTGTCAGGGACGATGAAGTGTTCAATATTCTCCATACTCAAAGTATTAGGGTTTAGATCCATAAAAATGTGAGAGAGGGGGAGGCGGAAGGGTAGATAGATTTACAGAGGGGGAGATGGAGGAAGTAAATGGGAGAGACGGTTGGAGTAATTGAGAGAGACGGATGCAGTGACAGAGAAAGAGGAGGTGGTGAGAGTAAATGGGAGAGAGGGATGCGGGTGGAAGTAAATGAGAAAGAGAGAGGGATGTGGACGGGTAAAAGGGAAGGGGAGCGGGAAAGGGTTTTTTATTGGGGAGGGTAAAATAGGGTTTTTAGTATGGGTTGAATTCCTTTTTAGGAAAGTTGGAAGAATTAATTGGGACGGTCCAAAAAGGAAAACTGGAAGAAATGACCGGGACAGAGGGAGTATTATTTAGTTTTATTCAACTAATAAACTTTTGTGAAAAAAAAGTGTATCAAAAATTAGCAAAGGAATAAAAAAAAATCAAAATCTATGAAATCTTAGATCCTAGATTGATAATTTTCATCTTTCGAGTCCTATATCAATACATTTCATCTTTCGAGTACCGAATTAATAATTTATCTATTTTTAAGATCCTGAATTGATAAAATTTCTTAATATTTTGATGATGTACATTAACTATGAAATGTTATGCTACTTTAATATTTTGTTTTTAATCCAATGGGGTCTGGGGGAGGGGGGCTGGGGGGGCCTGGAATAATCAAGGCTGAAACTCACTCCATTGAGTTTCAAACTCTTATGTGCCCAGCGGGTTTCGAACTCGAGACCTCCCACTAGGCACGGTAACTTACAACCAACTGGGCTGAAATGCTTGATTTATGCTACTTTAATATTATACTTGCATTTTTTATTGGTTAGAATTACATTAAGGTAGGGACCCCGTGACTCCGATTTTCTAGGTCCGCCACTGGTCATGGCCGGGGATAGGGCTGTAAATGAATAGAACATTTATCGAGCAGTTCGAGCTCGTGTTCGTTTTCGAGCTTAACGAACCGAGCTTAACGAACCCCGAATCCGAATACGAGCTAAATTTAGAGCTCGAATAGAAAAACGAACCGAGCTCGAACAGGATGGTATTCGGTTCGATATGTTACCGAGCCTATCGAACATTTGTATAAATAAATATTTTTTACCCATATGTCTAGTTGTCCACTTTACTAGCTTGTTTACTAATTCGGATCCCTATTTGTTTTATCATTTATCAAAGACTCCAACCCTAAATATTTAATATTTATACCCTAGATTATTAATTCCCCAAAATTGATAGTCCAAAATTCGAAATTGTAAAATCTTCTCTTAAGCTTAAAGTAAAACTTAGGGTTTCTTAATCTATTTGCCAACTTCATCTTCTCCCATCAGTAAAGACGGTAAGTCTACACTCTACCTTAATAAGCCGTTCGAAACTTCAATCTCTTTGTAACTTTCAATCATCTAATACTTTTTTATTACATTTAAAGGTTGAAGCGGCAAATTAGAATAGAAAGCTGGGAAGTGGGAACCAAAACTGAAAGTTCGGAATCTGGTTCATGCCTTCGTGGGTTAGTTCTCTATTTTTTATTTTGCTATGTATCACTGTGTATAATCATTTGAATACGTATATTTCAAGTGAAATATGTATATTTCTGTATGGTCAATTCAAAATGTGGTGAGTGTTTATTACTATTTTTTGTAGAAGAAGAGCATAAAGCCTGAAATTGCTTTGTTCTAAGAACTAATTACTACACTAATATACTGTTGCAGTGGGTTTAATTATTGTAGAAGAAGAGCATAAAGTCATGAATTGCATTTTTCTAAGCATTAACTACTCAGTGGCTGCACTAAGAAGAACATACTATCGTATAGTATAGTATAGTATGATTCTGTATTGTTTAGTGACTTGAGTCCATTTCAATATAAGATGCTTTATTGACAAATGGAAAACTAAATGATCAAAATTTTCAAAGATGTGTTTATTATTTCTTCTATGTAGAGAGGCATGGGTGTTCCTGATGTTTTGAAATTGAGTCAAGTGTCCTACTTAAGTTTTTGCTTATATTAAAAATAGCCAGGTAATCTTTTGTGTAACTATGTATTAAAGTTATCTTGGTGGGGTAAAAAAACAATCTTGGTCCAAGCACAGTTACCTAAAATACAAAAAGTGCACTTCAAGCATGATGTAGGAGCTTGATTAAATAACGTGGAGGTAGTTATAAAAATGTCTATATTAAGTAGCAGCTTGATTAACCTGGAAGTAGTTATATAATGGCAGAAGAAGTTGATACCTCTATCAACACCGATCAGTCACATGTAGAGGAGATAGAAGATATACCTCAAGAGAATCAGGCGGGGCATGATGGAGGTGAAGAGGTTATAATTGAAGAATCAGCTCTGAATTTGAACAAAGAAAGAGCAAAACGGTCAAAAATTTGGGATGAATGTTTCACCAAGATAAAGAATGACAAAGGAGTGGTGGTAAAAGCTGAATGCAGCCATTGTAAAGTGAAGTTGTCTTGACAAGCGACTGGCACAACAACGCATTTGACTAGATATATGAAGACGTGTTCTCAAAGGAAGGCGATCATGAGGCAGCAAGGTCTACTAAACTTTCAAGCAAGCAATCAAAGTATGCCTTCCCTAGCTCCAGCAATTGTAGGGGGGAAGTACGATCATGGAAAAATGAAAGAAGCCATTTGTCATTGGTCCATGATGCATGAACATTCATTCTCCATCGTAGAAGAAGAAGGGTTCAATTTATGATGAAAGTAGCTAATCCTTTTTATCAAAGAATCAGTCGAGTTAGTTTAAGAAATGACTGCATCAAAATTTATGAGTACGAAAAGAAAAAGGTAAAATCTATGCTCTCTAATGTTTCAAAGATCAGTTTGACGACGGACTTATGGAAATCAAAGAACCAAAAGATTGGTTACATGGTAGTCACAGGCCATTTTCTGGATGCTGAATGGAAGCTCAACAAATGGGTGCTGAATTTTGTTCATATTCTACCACCACACAGTGGCGATAATATTTCAGATGCTTTGTACAAATGTTTGAAAGATTGGGGAATTGAGAACAAAATTTATACTATATCAGTAGACAATGCTTCAGCAAATGACACAGCAAATGACACAGCAATCAAGAACTTGAGGGAAATCTTTGCGATGAAGAAATATTTGATTTGTGGTGGAAAGCTTTTTCATGTGAGGCGTTGTGCGCATATCTTGAATCTTATTTTTCAAGATGGTTTGTCTAGAATCAAATCTGTAATACAAGATATAAGGGATAGTGTCTCTTTTCTTAACCAAAGTGAAGCCCGGGTGAACACTTTCTGTGAAGTTGTCCAACAATTGCAAGTGTCTGGCAGCAAACTCATACTTGATTGCAAAACACGTTGGAACTCAACCTATGATATGCTGCATTGTGCATATATGTTCAAAGATGTATTTCTAATATATCAAAGAAAGGAACCCAGTTACACGTCATGTCCATCAAAAGAAGGTTGGGAGAAGGTAGAGAAAATTCTTGATATTTTGGTGGTTTTCTCTAATCTCACCAACATAATATCTGGAAGTGAATACCCAACGAGCAACCTTTTTCTGGTTGGAGTTTGTAAGATTAAACAAAGCTTAGACAATCGTGGAAGTGATGAAAGTGCATTCATGAAGGATATGGTCGACCAAATGAAGAAAAAGTTTGACAAATATTGGGGAGAGTGCAATTTACTCATGTCTATCGCTGCTGTTCTTGATCCAAGGGTGAAAATGAGGGCTTTGGACTTCTGTTTTCCTAAGATATATCGTGAATCAGAGGTAGACCTCAACATAGAAAAGGTGAAAAGGGCTTTGCTTGAGCTATATAATTAGTATGTGACCATGGAAAAAGTTCTACTCTAGGAAAGAGAAAGTTTAGTTGTTCTCAATCCTCTTCAATAATGAATTCATCAGCATCCGACTTTGATGAGTTGCATGCATATGTGAAAGAAGTAGAGACTATCCGGCCAAATAGAACAGAATTGGACATGTATTTTGAAGATGGTTGCTATATTTGCTCAGAATGATCAACTGAATTGTTTGATATCTTGGCTTGGTGGAAAGGAAACCAATCAAAGTATCATGTCCTTTCAAAAATGGCAGCTGATATCTTGGCGATTCCGATAACTACAGTGACTTCTGAGGCTACATTTAGTGCTGGAACAAGAGTAATTGACGCATATCGTGCATCACTATCAGTTCAGACAGTAGAGGCGCTGCTCTGTGGAGGATATTGGCTTAGAAATCTTCATGGGGTAAAAAAAAGAAGCAAAGTAAGTGGCTTATGTAACTTCAATTTTATTCTTGGTAATGATTATGATTAAAAAGTTATGGTGCTCATTTCATAATCCAAGTTTCTGTTTTGCAGGAGTGCAAAGAACCGATAATAATTAATCTACCAATATCATAGATGATCAAACAAGAAGTTTTAATGCAGTGGACGAGTCTCATATTTTGTGAATTACTGATTGGACTCTGAAATATTGCTCACTGTATTTGTCTATTTTGCTTGTGGATATTTTTGGACATATGAACTAGTTTGGCTCCTAACTTTGAACATAATTGCTTGGACATGTAATGCTTATCTTTTGCGCTAAGGATCATTAATCTATGTTTATTTTTGTAAATGTGTTTATTATTATTGTGATTCTCTTCTCTAGTTGTAATATAAACACCAAAATTGGTTATTTATTTTTATTCATACCCATGACCTTTCATGGGTTATTTACACCATCGTTTATGTATGCATTTACTCTTGGCAAATGCAAAAGAGTACACATATGGACAATCACGTATCAAAAGGTTAAACAGATTTTATTTAGTTGTAGTAATGCTGCTTGAACACTTGAACTTTAATTGGTTGTTCCTTTTTTCTTCTAAAATGATTCGTTGCAAGTTATTGGTTGATGATAGTTTTTGAAGTTGTACGAAAGAGGAAAGGAATTGATGACAAACTTATTGGATTTTATAGGTTTAGAAATTGACAGAATTTTTTCTTCATTAAACCAGCTTGTGTTCGAACTCGAGCTCTAATCGAACTTTTTAGTTCAAACTTTTTTCGAGCCTATCGAGTATCTGAACCGAGCTTCGAACACATAACGAACCGAACACGAGCCTAATAAATAGAGCTTTCCGAGCTTCGAGCACGAACTCGAGCACGAACAAAACACTATCGAACCGAGCTCGAGCCTATGGTGTTCGGGCTCAGCTCAGTTCGTTTACAACCCTAGCCGGGGATGTCTTATACTACATTACTACGTATTTGTTTAGAAGTTGATAGCTTGTGATCTTCTTGTATATAAGGTTTTCCAAAAAAAACTTCTTGTATATAAGGAAGCCATGTATACGAATGTAAAGTAGCATTATACGAAATTATATTTCCCATAAGCATATATACGTGATTCTTCATGCCTACTTCACATGCAATTAAGAGCATCTCACTGTATTCAAGTATGTAACTATAACACTGGTTGATCAAAGTTTAGAAAAACATCTGCAGAGCAGAATTGTTGTCCTTTTGTTTCTTCACCTTCTCCCTTGATATAGAAAAAGAACACTTTGATTGCTTTGAGCTTAAAATAAGCTTACAAGTGTGCTTTCTCCTGCACCAGTCCTATTGTACCTAAAGGGGTCTGCTATGATATTGATACAAATAGTGACATAACACTCTCCCTACTACAAATTGACATACTATGATATCATCATCATTATCATCATTACCCCAATGTTGCAAAGGCTCCCACCTACGGTGGGGTAAGGGAGGGTCGGATGTACGCAACCTTATCCCTGTACTAAAACAGGGAGAGTCAAAGCATATATAGCCATTAATCCCAATCAAAAGTAGGAGCGTACTTAGTCAGGTATAAGATAATTTTGGATCCATAATTGTAACTGGTTTAACTGATCAGTTTTAAGTCCGGTTTACATGGGCTTCTAGTTTTGGATATTATGTTCATTCTGGTTCAGGATTTCAGCAACACAAACCAGTCTGCTTCAGATTCTGCTTGGGAGGAATCAAAACTGGACCGGATTTAAACCAATTATAGCCTTATTATAGGTACAAACTCTAGTTTGAAACACTCAATCTGGTTCGATCATGTGCAACATAACCAGTAGGTCTCAGCTTGATTTGTACTCAAAATTGAGACCATATCCACCCCTTGGAAGTAGGGTCTGGGCGGCTTATGTTAAAAGTATACCTTACCTTGATTGGCATTAAAAGAATTCTAAGGTTTTGAAAGAAGTTAGAAGCTTAAAATGTAGAAAATTTTAGAATGATTTAGTAAAATTATGATGTGGAAAAAACGACTCCCGAAGATCAAAAGTAGTGCTTGCTGGCAATGTAACTAAAAAAGTAAAGACTAGTTTAATGCCACAGCATGCACCAAAAGGGCCAAAACTACAGGCTCAAGCTAAGAGACACCCCAAGCCCCAAGATCAATTGCTCTCACACCCTTTTAGAAAACAGCTACCCATTATTCAAAAGTCATTTACAAATCATTAATCGCACACAAATGACTCCCAACCACATTTGAATAAAAAGCTCATATCATATAACTTTCCTCTTCATCTGTGTATGTTGATTGAGCAGCTAATCATCTGAGATTATTTGTTAGAGAAGTACTCACACATTTACCAGTTTTGATAGCCAATCAACATATTATTGCAGGGGTCAGTTTCATGGTAGCCTATGTTGTCAACTAACAAAATACTTGTATGAACAAAAACTTATAATCTATAAAAGAGTATGTTAAAATGTGAAACTTTGGGTCCTTGACATTAAGTTTCTGGCTTTCCCACATGCCAAATAAAAGTAAAGATGAGGAGGCACACTCCTTTCACATTCCCCTCCCCCCTTCAATCCAAAAAAACACTTTGTTACTTCAGTAACGAAAAAGGTAAAAGTGAGGTCCTATAAATGCAAAGGCAGATTTACTAGAGCATCAAGCCCAAAACTTACTAAAGAATCACAAGCCCAAAACTTACACTTACTAGAAGTGTGAATCAAGAATCAGTCTCAGAATCCAACTCTATATCTGACTCACCTTGGAAAGGTTTTAATCTATTGGTGTTGGCTTCTAATGGAGGAAGTCCATCATCATCACTACTAGAGTTTTCAACATCACATGTCTGAGGCGTGTGCTTTTCCAAACCTTGCATTGGAGGTTCTATTGCTGCAGATCTGAAGATATCTGGCCTGCACAGGAAGATGGTGATAAGTATGAGAATCCAAAGCATAAATGGTTTCACACAGCTGCTTCCCGAATGATGCCTATTGTTCTAAACTCATACAGTTTTCAATAAAAGATTCAAATCCAGAATCGTTTTGAATATTCATATTCTATATCATATTAAACGATTCAGTATTTCATTGAAAACAAAGAAGTGCAAAGACAAAGAGCATTAGTTTCAAGCAATGACGTACCAGTCTGGGGACTTTTGACACTCACGAACTTGGTCATAGAAGAGGACTTGTGTAACAGTGCACCCCACTTTTCTACCAGACCCCATTGCCTCTTCTCTCCCACTCTCGTCAACCACAACAAAGTTCCCTATTCAATCGCAGTAAATGAAAAGAAGAAAGAACAGGTAAAATAAACCCTTTCTAATCTCTCTCTCTTTTAAAATAAAAACTAAAGGTAGAAATATAATTATAAGCTACTATCTTAACAGAGCAAACCTCTTTTAATCCACATGCTCTTTTGAAATTTAGCTGGGAAGATTGCTATTGACTTTTCACCCTTCGCATCCATTACCTTTAAATACCAACAATGCAACTTAAGACGAAACAATATATATTACTATGTGAGTTTTTCGGACAAAAATATGATTAGTTATGTATTTTGGACAAAAATATGACTAGTCATTGTGTATAAGTAACTGAACAAGAGTCACTATAGTGTATTTCAGAGTGACAAGTCACTAGTAGATGATGTGTCACTTGAAATTAGTCACTAAATATGTCACTTTTTTGAATTGTTTTAAAATAAGTCACATTTTTGTCTTTTGAATTTAATTTAGTAATATTGATGGCAAAAGGCCATATATAAAACATTAAGATGTACAAAGATTGTATGCATGTCTCTGTTTGGGGGGTGTTAACTAGTGAGTGAGAGAGAGAGAGAGAGAGAGAAAACTGGACACCTCAATCTGATTGGAGCCACGTAGGTCAACTACTTGCATAATGCTTTCTCCCTGTTGAAGAGTTGCAAATTTATCATTTACAGCTCTTTTCAAATTCTTTCTTCCTCTTTTCATGGCTTACTGATCTTTTCCCCTTCTAGTACTCAATCCAATGCAGACTTGAAAAGAAATCATGATAGTTAGTCATAGCTTTATAATAATAAGTCAATATCCAATTGACACTCAGTTACTTAACACTGTTGGTGAAATACAAGGGTGTTTGGATGAGAATCACTTTATAGCATTGTATTGAAGTCTTTAAGATGGAGGCGAAGTACCCGGAATACTTACAGAGTTACAGGTCCAGTTCAATTCAATAAAACATCAACTCTTAAATTCAACATTTAAATGTGTAATAGAGTAATGCTAGAGACTATAAAGGACAATGAGTACAGACTACAGAGTTTATTACTCATTACGAATGCAGTTTTTGTGAACCATATCAACCCCTAACCAGGCTCAGTGTTGTTAATGGCTGATGTCGGACGACCAATATTCTGCAATATGGCAACACACCAACACCCATAACCCACCATCTTTAATAATTTTCCAATGATAGCCTATGTAGCACGGAAATTTTCAGGAAAGAGTACAATTCTGTTTTGGAAACTCTACGGAAACTCTTAGGAAACTCTCCAAATAGTTGTTTTTTGAGGAAAAGATGACGTGCTCCATTTCCCGTTTCCTCATGATTTTCACGTTCCCGTGCAACATAGATGGAAGCATGGTGTGTTTACATCAATACCATTCACTTGGCTGCTGTTTGACATAACTGAACCAACCAAGGTTTTTCAGAGCCCGTCCAACACTTATGAAGATCCAAAGCTAACTTCAAATTCAGACTCTCAAATAACTAATAATAAAATATTTCCAAAATAACTACAACAACAACAACAACATCCAAGCCTTAGTCCCAAAAGATATTGGGGTCGGCTAACATGAATCGATACATGATATCACCGCCAAAAGGAAAAGAAAGAAAATAAAGATAAAAAAGATAAGCTACGATAAAAAGATAATAAAAACGAGATGAATATACTTAAAAATGATAAAATAAAAAGGATACACATAATGTTTATATATATAAGGATAAAAACAAGGAAAAAAGATGAGGGGAAAAGATGATACGAGATCACTCCTCCACACGAATACCCACCCTCCACTTAGCTCTCTCCACAGTCATGCCCTCATCCAACCCCAGAAGAAGCATATCACTTCGAACTCCCTTAACCCACGTCTGTTTGGGTCTTCCTCTCCCTCTATTCTCTGCATCTTCTCCACACATCTGAACTAATCTGACAGGTGCATCACTCAGTCTTCTACGCACATGACCAAACCACCGTAGGCGCGACTCCTGCATCTTGTCTTCAATAGGTGCTACTCCCACCATTTGTCTGATTGTCTCATTCCTCACGCGGTCCCGCCTAGTATGCCCACACATCCAACGCAGCATGCGCATCTCTGCCACACTCATCTTTTGAATGTGACATTGTTTCACCGCCCAACACTCTACGCCATACAGTAATACATGCCTAATTGTTGTCCTATAAAATTTACCTTTCAGTCTAGTCGTCATACCTCGATCGCATAGAAATCCTGACGCACTCTTTCACTTCATCCACCCTGTTCTGATTCTATGAGATACATCCCCATCTAACCCACCGTCCTTCTGAATTATGGAGACCAAGTAACGGAACATATCGCTGATTGGTATCTCCTTAACATCCAGAGTAATTCCGCTATTACCACTGCTTCTACCTCCACCAAACTTCCAACTCCATGTACTCTGTCTTGCTCCGACTTAGCTTGAAACCCTTATTCTCCAATGTTTGTCGCCATACTTCCAAAATAACTACTAATGCAGAATATTATTTATTAAAAGTTGTCATTCTTCTAATAATATTTTATTTTACCGTCTCATTAAGGTGTAATTCATTCATCAAACAACTATAACGAAATTGGTTTAAATTTTAATTTCCAATCTTCGGTAATGAAGTTAAGAAAACGGAAATTAAGTGGACTATAAGAGTTTTATAACGAGAGTATAAATCTCAAGTCTGATAAGCATTCATAAAATGAAGCCTAAATGAAATTAGTGAAACTTTTAACTAAATAAAATTAAGACTATGAAAACAATAAAGCCTACATGGAAGAGGAACCGAGGAAGACGATAATGGGAGAATACAAAGAAAACAAGTTAGGAGAAGTGAACGAAAGTAGAGAACAAGGGAGGCAGAGAAGTTTGAAGGAAATCAAAAATCTAAGTGGATTGGTGGCTTTGGTGAAAATTTACGTTTGGACTTCGGATGCCTACAAAAATTATTATTTTTGGAAGCCTACAACAATGGCTTTGGTGGATTGGTGGCTTAAGTGGATTTACTCTTGGGCCTTGTTTCTATTGATTGAATAGAATCAGCCTAGTAGGGTGATAAAAAGAAAGTTTTGAAAACTTTTGACCTCTAAACACAGAATAAGAGCAACAAGTGAGTTTGATATGTATGAGCTCAGAGTTCAGAAGATACCAGCTCCATGCAGCTTAAATGGCCCAGCAACGGGAAAGCATATTTGAACTACTCGATAAATTTAAGTCAAGAACACAAAAGCAGCTAACATGAGAACCAAGAAAAAATATTCTACATCTTTGAGATATATACTAACGATTACTTTACATCGATAAGGCATGTTAGATCATAGTTTTCCACTTTGTGTTTCCAAAGATTTAACCAAAGTCATCAGGTTCCACACATGTTTTTGAACTTGTAAGGGAGCCAAAAAGTTTCACCAGAAAGCACACATGCTTTGTCTGATTTCTCACACTCAACTCCTACACCTCTATTAACCTTCTATGCTTCTAATAGAGAACTAGGAAGAAATAATCACCCAATATACATTACTAAAACATACTCACATTTTCCTAAGTAAGAGTGTAGGACTACTGTGTTTCAATTCTAAATATACAAGTACATGACCCATATAGTAATATATAAAGAATGCTATAATACTCGATTTGAAGAAACTAATTTACCGTAACTAAATGTCTCCCAATTATCCCCTGCCACATTAATTCTGTTATTCCCAGGCCATATTTAGAGAAACTTGAAAGTCTGTATGTTTATATTAGCCATATCTAGGTAAATTTCTCTATTAAGAAATATGAATAGTCTCTTTACATGTACTGTTAGTGTTCATATGGAACTTTCTTTCTATAGCCTTACTAGTACGGCTTACTTAGCTTCTCAACATGAAACACAAGATTAAAATAAACTTGCACAGTGATGAGTAAGTAACTAAGATAAAGTGTTTCCCTAATATTACAATGACAACAAAAGATAAATTTGCATATTGCATTGATTCTTAGTATACTTTTACCAAACACATTGCTTGGTGACTTACAAGCTAAAGCTAGACATTCAAGACTGTGTGATTTTCGGGCTTCACTCACAGAAATCCGAATCATTATAGCCGCGAGAAGTGAAAGGGGAAGGAAAAAGGGTAGAAAATATAGGTTATTCACAGCAGTCGTATTTAAATGCTTGATAGGCAACCGGAATGTGATTAAAACAAGCGGTAAAGGAGATAAGCAATTTCAGAAAAACATGCTAAAGATTATTAGATTAAAGAGAAGATTTATGGAAACGAAACGCACCTCCGCCTCACGCCCACCTCTGTCTGTTGCTGGTTCTGACTTCAGCCTTCAGTTATTAGTTGTTACGACTCCGGCTGGAAAGAGTTCTCACTTATACTTCAGAGTCTTCCACCTCAACCCATTTAGTAAAGTAATAACCTCAACTATTACGAATTTCCGACCTCCTGAGCCCTATGCGAGGTGACCCATGAGATCTCTTCCCAACCTTGAGAAGGGGATCGCTGTGCTGATGGGGGATATACATGGTAGCAGGCCTGGCTGGGTTTGTTTGGAACTTCTGGCAGCCCTCACATTTTCGTGTTCGTGCGAAGTCTGCGCAGTCCTTTATCATGGTTCACCAAAAGTACCCTTGCAAGATAGTCTTTCTACTTAGAGTAAACGCACCTTGATGTGATGAGCATATCCTTTCGTGTAACTCTTTGATCACTTACTGAGCTTGACCTGGCCTCAAACACTTTAGCAACACTCCATTGTAACTTCTTTTGTAAAGCTTGCCATCCTAGATGACATTGTTGGGAGCCCGTCTCCTGATCACTCTTCCCTTGTCTTCTTCTGAGGGAAGCGTTCCGCCTTCGATGTATTCATCAGGTCATCAATCCAGCACCTTGAGGCTTGGCTTACTGGCAAGACCTCCTGGTCCTTGGTGACCTCGATGCTCGGCTTGCTTAACTCGTGCACTCGAGATATGCGAATGAGATGTTCGGGCGCATCTGTCGTTAGTTTTGACATGATGTCTGCCTCGACATTCTGAGCTCGTAGAACGCATATCAGGTCGGACTCCTCGAATTGTTTGATGAGTTCCAGGGCTGCATCCATGTACTTCTGCATCCGAGCTTCCTTAGTTTCATACTCTCCTCCAAGCTGTTTGATGACCAACTTAGAGTCGCTCTTGATCTTTAGTCTTTGCACTTTAAAGTATCTTGCTATCCTGAGGCCGGAGATCAAGGCCTCATATTCAGCTTCATTATTGGATAGGTTGAACAAGTACCTGAGGGCATAGTAGGTCTTGAAACCTTCGGGGGTGATGAGGACCACCCCTCCTCCGCAACCTTTGGATCCTGATGATGACCCATCAGTCATAAGGGTCCACCAATCTTCTTCTTCACGACATCATTCTTCGGCCACGTCCCTGACAGTACATTCTACCAGGAAGTCTGTCAAGACTTGCCTTTTAATTACGGTTCTAGGCTGGAAGCTCACCTGATACTGGCTGATCAGCAAAGACCATTTCACGACTCGCGCAGTCTTGGCTGTTCTGAACAGAGTTCCCACCCCCAGATCTGACAAAACCTTGATGGGATGAGCCTAGAAGTAATGTGCTAGTTTCTTTGCTGCGACATAGACTGCGAGAGCGGTCTTTTCCAGGGTTGGATATCTGAGCTCGGCTCCATGGAGGACCTTGCTAACATAATAGACCGGCCTCTAGACCGTCCCTTCTTCTCTCACTAAAACGGAGCTCACTGCGCTCTGGGTTACTCCCAGATATAGAACAAGTGTCTCGTCGGCCTTAGGTTTGCTGAGGAGCAGATCAGACTGTAGATATTTCTTGAGTTCTTCGAACGCAGCTTGGCACTCTTGGGTCCACTGAAACCCGTGGCTCTTTTTTAGGACTTGGAAAAACGGAAAGGATTTATCGGTTGACCTGGATATGAATCTCCCCAAGGCTGCCAGCCTCCCTGTGAGGATCTGGACCTCTTTGACATTCCTTGGGGGCTCCATATCCAGAATTGCCTTAACCTTTTCTAGGTTTGGCTCAATGCCCTTGTGTGTCACCATAAACCCTAGGAACTTTCCGCCTTGTACCGCAAAAGTGCACTTCTTAGGATTGAGTCTTAGATTTACCTTTTTCATGATGCCGAATACTTCTCTGAGATCATGTACGTGGTTGTCGGCTCTTTGACTCTTCACGCTCATATCATCAACATAAGCCTCCATGTTTCTTCCCAACACTGCTCGGAAGACCTTAACTACCATCCAGGTGTAAGTGGTCTCAGAGTTTCTCAAGCAAAAATCCATTACCTGGTAGCAAAAACTCCCTCTTGTGTGATGAATGAGGTCTTCTCCGCATCATCTGGGTGGATAGAGATCTAGTGATACCCCCTAAATGCATCCATAAAGAAAAGAAGCTTGCACCCGGCGGTCTGATCCACTAGTTGATCTATGCTGGGCAAAGGGAAAGGATCCATGGGACAAGCCTTGTTCAGGTCCGTATAGTCCACACACATTCTCCAGGTAGATGGTTTAGGTGCCAAAACTACATTGGCGAGCCATTCCGGATACTGTACCTCCCTAATGTGTTTGATGCCCAACAACATATTCACTTCCCCTTTGACGAATTCCTTCCAATCTAAAGACATGTAGGTATCTTCTCTTTTTGGATCAACATTCAACCGGTGAACTGCTATGCTTGGGTTAAGCCCAGGCATATCTTCAGGCCCCCTAGCAAAAACCACCTTGAACTCTGTCAGAACCTGGAATATCCTTGCTCTCAGTAGGTCGGCCGGGATCCCTGCACCAATCTTGACCCGACGTTCTGGCCGGGAGGGATCGACTCCGACCTCCTCGAGCTCTGAGACGAGCTGAGCTCTGAACTGTCCTTCCTCATACTTGGATAAGTCCTGCTCGATGGCATTGATCCTTATATCATTTCCTCCGTGAGCCTTGCAGGCTCCTACATAACAACTTCTGGCCATTTTCTGGTCTCCCTTCACCGTGCCTATTCCGACTGGTGTATAGAACTTCATGCATAGGTGAGCCTGGGAGATAATGTCTCCTAGGTCCTCCAACAGAGGTTGGCCCAGGATGGCCTTGTGAACACTGGGTAGTTGAACAACAACAAAATCTGTTTCGATCGCCCGGACACATGGTTCCGATCCAAGCCGGATGTTGAGGGTGACCACCCCTTCCGGCTCAATCGTGTCTCCGGTAAAACCTGGAAGAGGGGTTTTTACCGGTCTGAGAGCTCCCTTCTGGAGTCCGATCTCCAATAAAGCATCCATGTATAGTATGTTGATCGAGCTTCCGTTGTCCATCAGAACTCTATGAACAATTGCATCCATAACCTCCATCTTTATCACCAAAGCATCTATGTGAGGCGGGGGACATGGGGGGAGATCTCCATCCATGAAAGTGATGGATTCCCTCTTCTGCCTTTTGTCAGCAGGAAGACGGTTGATTTCCCCAACGAATAGTTGACGATTCCACTTCTTTCTTTCCCCTGCAGTGTCTCCTCCGACAGGTCCACCATAGATTTTGTTGACCTTCGGGCACTTTTGCCAGCTTGAATCCTCTCCTTCATCATCATCCTCGAACTGGGCTCCGACCTCCCTCTTTTTAGAGGTTGAGGCCGACTCATCTTTCCTCTTGTTCCAGGTGTTTTTCCTCGGAGGGTGTTGTCCGTGCTGACTTTTCTTCACAAACTGGTCCAGTTGCCCTTCACGTATGAGCCTTTCCACATACTTCTTCAGAAGGTAACAATCATCAGTTTGATGAGTATCGCTCTTGTGGAGCTTGCAATACTTACCCTTAGTAGTCTGGCTGTTGACAACATTGCATCCTTCCGGGATCGTTATCAAGCCCTGCTTCACCGCGTAGTCCAGGACAGTACCTACTGGATGTGTCAATGGTGAAAAGTCAGATTGGCTGGACAGAGGTCCCTCGGTAACGCCTGATCTTCTCTTTCTCCAGCCCTTCTTTTTCTTCTTAGACCCATTCCCCTTGTTTGAGTGATGAGTCTCCTTCTCTGAGGACTTCTTCTTCTTGCCTTCAGGTTGGCGCTTGCCGGTCTCCTCTTCTCTCTTCCTTTTCTCAGCTTCTTCCACCCCAGCTTGCGCATTGGCATGCAACAAATCTTCCTTGTGTGAGGTCGGGGGGTTGCGCACAAAATCTTTGGATAGTTCGCCCAACCTAAGAGCATTGGTGAGTATGGCGACAGCGGACTTGCTATCCAGGTCATCTACTTTCACCGATTCGTCCCTCCATCGAGCTAGGAAATCAACTAAGCTTTCCTGGGGTCCCTCTCTGATCCCCATGAGGTGAGAGAAATTCTTCTTGGAGTCTTTGAAGCTGGCAAACCGGGCCACGAAAGCATGGGCCAACTCCCTAAAGTTCCGGATCCTCCCATCAGGTAGAGAGTTGTACCACACCCGACCTGGTCCGTCTAGGGTCACTGAGAACCCTCTACACTTGATAGTATCATCGTACCCCATCATCACCATGTACGCCACATATCTGGAAACATGGTGTTGGGGATCGATCTTTCCTCGATAAGCCTCAATATTGCATGGCATGTATCCCTGCGGCAGTGGAGCATCCATGATCTGGCGAGTGAACGGTTTGGGAATCCTTACTTCACGATTGGGGTAAATCCTGCCATCCACCTCCCTCCTGAGCTCTTTCAACCTCCTCCTGAGGTCATCATTGCCATGACCAGCTCAAGCTCGAGGTGGGGTTCGGTGATCTCCGCGGGCCTTCCGGTTGGCGTTGATCTCGTCCCTGAGATCTCCTCCACGCGTGTTACGGCGGTGGGATGAAACGGCCGCGGATGATGCCTCCTCACTCTGCTCAGCCCTGGATGAGATTCTGTCATGCACGGAGATTCTTTGCCCGTCGATCCGATCCATTACCGAGGTTCTCGGGGTCAGCCTGGAGTGATGGGACCGCTGAGACCGGGTTGGCGGAGAGTTTCTCCGCTGCAGTTCACGTCTCTCTTCCTCCCACTGAGGCATGGATGGAGCCCAGCGAGGGGAAGGAGGTATTGCGTTAGCATCAAGGATAATACCTTGAAAGGCGGTGGTCAGGGTCTCCACGGCCCTCTAGAATGTTGCCAAACTTGCCAAGGCTTAGGTCGGATTGACGTTGGGGATGAGGTTCCCGGTGCCTGGCGTCTGGAACTGCGGTGGTCGCACCGCCGTACACCTGGAACTCCCAACGCCGTGGAGATGATTTCTAAAATCACCCTGAACCGTTGTGTTGTCATTACGCCTCCTGAAATCACTGCGCCGTGACCTAGAACCCTCGTCCTCGATCACGACTTGATTGAAACGATCGTCGCCTTGATCGCTACCCATGCGGTTGTGACTAGTCGATCCAACCATCATCTTCGCAGATCGTTCTCTCAACGAGAGCACCAAATGATGGAGTTTAATCCAACCACGAGAGCTATATCTATGAAAGCAGATGAAAGTAAGACAGCGTAAGGCAATATTTCTATTATCAGGAGTTCGATCCCCTCATAGGAGAATTACAAGAAGTATTTATTGACTACATCAACTAGTATTCTAGGAGGAAACTGCTACAATAAATGCTATTAATTACATATTAG